TCTTTGATAGCCTACATTGTAAGTATTTTTAGTTATTCACAACATATTTGTACCATATTCTCAGTTCTGCTAAAATGGAAGCCCAATTGAACATGATTTATGTGCGCAAAAAGTGCACGAATAATAATCTTCATCGTAAGTTGCACAGCCTTTGCGAACATTGTCGCAGAACCTAACGCAGCTCGGACCCATGCGTGTGTATTTGTGTTGTGTTGTTTATGTAATCCTGCGAGGCAAGGCAATTTCGCAATAACTGCGAATGTGCCAGCTAACAATACGAAATTAGTTATAACATCACACAATTGTGTGATTTGGGAAGAAAAATATGTTAATCATGACATTTGAGACATTCCTGGCCTCGGTGGGGGGGGGGGGGTAGCGACAGTTCCATTTGTATTTTCTGCTCTGCTGATGCTGCTTCTCATCTGACTAACGTAACGGAGGAGAACGAAAAATGCCGAAATGAAAATGAAAATTCTTCCACGCTGATGGATTTTACTAGTCTAGTCTAGGCCTACTATATACAGAGGCCTGGTCTAGACCTAGATCTAGACTAGTCTCTAGTACTACCAGGCCTACACTGACACTCAGTACTGACTAAATAAGACCTGAGCTTGAGCTCGAAGTCGGTGGCAGTGAGACACGCAAACACGACGTGGGCCTAGGCTAGATGATAGATGTAGGCCTAGGGACGTAGGTCTAGATCTATCTAGATCTAGTCCTCAGTCTCAAGAAATTAGTCAAAGCACGCCAAACCATGGCATGAATTTATTAAAAGTATTTTGTAAATTATTTTAAAAGATGCAGATCTAGATCTAGAGGTCTAGAATCTAGACCTAACTTAGATCTAGTCTATTCTAGATTTAGAAATTGAAATGGAATAAAATATTTTTCAAAATAGACCTAGGGTCTAGACCTAGATCTAGTCTAGGTCTAGTCTAGGTCTAGTCTAGTACTCTAGACTTTCTAGATCTAGAACTAGTAGTAGACCTAGGCCGTAGGGTCTACCGGTATAGACCTCAGGCTCTAGATCTAGAATCTAGTCTATGTGGTCTAGATCTAGACCTTTCTAAACCTAGATCTACTTTTCATAAATTCATGCCAAGCCCGCGCCGATGGTTTGTTGTGTTGTGTCATGAGAAGTTGAGTGTTTGTGTGTCTCACCGTCACTGAGTTCGAGCACAAGTCTGAGCTGAATGAGAGGTACTTTGTCTTTAGGCCCATCTAGATCTAGATCTAGCTAGACTAGACTCTAGTACTGACTGTTGAATGTCTCTACACTCAACTCCTACAAATTTATACTAGATCTACATCATGATCATGACATGTCTAGGCCTAGAGTCTACATCAATACATTGTTGTACTTGAATTTTGAAGCAAGTTTAAAATCTGTGCAAGCAAATAGCCAATAAATCAATGTGTGTTTTTCCTAATCTACATGTAATCTTAGTCAAATTCAACCTTTCACATGGGACATCTAATGCTAATTTACATGTACATGTATCTAATTTCACATTTTATCAAGCATGAGTAGATTTTTAACAAAACACGACAGGAATTAGCCCCTACGTTCTTATGGAGGTTCAGTGACATCATCTTTCCTAATTACCCAATAGTATGAATCAATAGCACTCATTTCTTTAATGCAATCAAAGTATCGTTAATATTTTTTTTAGAGTTTGCAAAAGCTATTCAAAATCAGATTGTCTACAATACAAAGAATGCAAAACATGTAATATCATAGGATTTATTTGATAAACAATGAATGATATTTTTTTCATTTCATGTTCTAATTTTAATTCACTTTTTTTCTATTTTGTTGTGACAGAGACAGCATGGCTGAATATATTCACCATCTCCGCCAGCTTGATCGGAACAGAGAGTTGATAGGCAGACCTCAGAGAGGCCTTCGTGACCCATGAACCCTTTTGAAGTGTATGATGATGAGTCATTTCGGACCAGGTACTGGTTTTCCAAAGAGACAGCGCTCTACCTCATCAACTTGGTGGATGAAGAGCTGAGGAGGACGACAGACAGAAACGACCCAATACCTATACAGGTAGCGACAGCACTTTGATTATATGCTGTTGGTGATTTACCTTATTTAGTATTTAGTAAATTTCTATTTAATCTGGGCTGAGCGAAAAAGTAAAAGGGTAAAATTGCGGTTAACCTGTTTTGCGGGAGTTTTTTTCATAAACCGGGAGATTCTACATCAAAGCAGGAGGAAGGGCGTGGTGGCGTAAGACTCCCTCTAAATGCAAGAGGGTTGACAGCCCTGATTTAATAAAAAATCTATTCTACAATTTTAAGGACTTTAAACATTTCTCAGTTTGAGAATTTGGTCTGGCCATGTAACTTGTAAGAAATTGTACTAGTTGATATTTCACTAAAAGGATTTTTTTTTGTACAGGGTCATTCCAAAAGATGCATGGTGATGAGGCACAACTTTCACAGTCTTCTGTATGCAGAGTCATCAGAGACGTGTCAGAAGCGTTTGCAAGAAGAAGGAAACAATTCATGAAGTTCCCAACATCAAGAGAAGAAGTAGAAGCAACACAGCAGCAGTTCTACCAATACTGCAGTTTGCCAGGTTTTCTAGGTGCAATTGTTAGGATTCATGTCTACATCAGGAGTCCTGGTGGAGATCAAGCCCTGTATTTTATTAATAGGAAGAACATATACTCTATTAATGAAATGAAAATTTTCCCTTTTTTTGGAGATGCTCCCCATTTACTTTTAATCCAATTAATTAAATGACCGATATGGAATTGGTTCCCCCTTTAGTTTCTCTGAACGAAACGTACACCCATGCAGTACTGTGGTCTGAAACAATTAGACCGTATATCGAAATCTAATGGTTGATATAGTTCCTCCCAAAAACATTTTTGCAAAAGGTACCAACCACTTTGAAAGGGAAATCGTCATCATCTTCATCATCATCAACATCATCACTGAAATCGTTATTTGACTGCTTCATCACCATCACCACCGACAACATTGCTGTCATCATTATCATCACTGACATCATCATCGACTTCAACATTGTCTTCGTCAATAACCTTGAATACTTGTTTTGATTATCCATATTAAATCGTCAATATTTAAATATAAATTTCTCTTGTTTGATGGTGTGGTTTTTCTCGTGAAATCATTAAGTTAGGAGGTAAACGTTTTACAAGTGAATGACCTACTTTGTTTATCTTGTTTAATTATTAATATACCATTTGCTGTTATCTATTACTTATAATTACCCAGTACACACCATGAATTAAAATGGATTCGTTATGTTTCGCTAAATCCAAACACCCACAGAGAGAGAGCAAAAGATAAAGAGAGAGATGAAGAAAGAAGGAGAAAGGGTATGTGTGAGAGAGAGAGGTGGAGAAAAAAGAGAAAGAAAAGGGGTACGAGAGGGATTTAAAAAATGGAGTTCTAACGAAATAAAAAGATATTTGAGAGAGGTGGGGTGGAGAGCTGGTGAAAAAAGAGAGACAACGAACAAAAACAAGAAAGGTGAAAGAGTGAGAAGTAGAGACGAAATTTACAAAAAAGTTCTTTTCTTTTTGTTTAAATCACTATTCCCTTGAGAAATTCTATAAAGCAGAAAAATTAAGAAAAAAAATGAACGCCCCCCCCCTAAGAAAAGAATTAATACAGCAAATAAACAAATTCAGAAAAATTAATGCCCCCCCTAAGAAAACAATTAATGCCCCCTCCCCCCTAAGAAAAATTAAAAACAAAATTACCCCCACCCCCAGGAAAGCCCCACCCCCTAAGAAAACAATTAATGCCCCCTCCCCCTATGAAAATTAAGAACAAAATTAACCCCCCCCCCTCAAAAAAAAAACCCCATCTCCTAAGAAAACAATTGATGTCCCCTCCCCCCCCCCCCCCCGAATTAGGCCTAATAATTCTTTATCACATGTCAAGACTGCCTTGTTTTTGCTGTCCTCCTATTTTATATGACCAGTAAGCCCGGGTTTTTTTCTCAATACATCTATGCATTTTATGCATTAATGCCAGTATTTTCTATCAGATAGTATTTATCGTAACCTTTCGGCCCTTTCTTTCTACATCATCAACACATTCTGGACTAAACGTCATCGATCGCTTTCGCTGCCTCTACGGAGTCTACGCTATATATAACACGAGTCTACTCTTACTTCGGATTGATTAATTGCTAAACTAAAGTGTGACCTACGCTCTAAAATAATCATAACAATCAACGAAAATGTGATCATATAGCTCTAAAATGAACACTACATCATAGAACATTTTCACTCTGGTATAAGGGTCGTTTACAGAAGTTTTTTGTGGACTCTTCCACGAAAACTGTCGATGTTTAGTGTGTTGTGATGCCCAGCTGATCATAATTATGTCGGACGATTATAGGCCATAAATTAACAACGATAGTGAGGAATTATTGAGGTAATTTATGCGAAATTCGGTAATATTTTGAGGACATCTGTCAGAGAACTGTTTTAGTATGTGAATAGTGGTTTAAAGTCTTATCTCAACTTAGAATCGGTCGGTTTTCAGTCTCTACTTGTAGGCGAAGAGTAATAGCCCAAATACAACTGAATCTGGACTTAGCAGACGACGGTGAACTAGGTGGAGTAACCAAGTGTACTGAGCGCGCATGCTCAGTTCAATGCTTCAATTCTGCGCATGCTCAGTTTATTTTTTTGCTCTCTTAGGCATGCTTAAACCGTGGTTAAACCGTGGGTTAGATTTAGACCATGGGTTATCTAACCCACGCTTTGTGAATACCGAGCGAGGTTTAAACCGTGGGTTAGATTTAGCCTGGGCTAAATAACCCAGGGTTAGATTTAGCCTGGGTTAAATCTAAACCTCCTTTGTGAATTCGGGCCTAAGAGTGTAAATGAAAATGAGTAATCTGAAAAATCCCAAACACAACGTCTCCGTCTTTCTTTATTAAATGGAAAACGCATATGAATACAATTGATAGTTTTTAAAACATTTATGATGGGAACAGAGACAATAAATTTATTTATATAATTATCAGTGGCATATGCAGCATTTGGTAAAACGGCATATGCCCCCCCCCCCCCTTCGAAAGGAAACACATAACAAACATTTTAATCAAACTTAGAATAATACCAGAGGTGCATGCCTCATTTTGAAAAGTTTACAAGGAAGTGGGTACACTATAGAGAACCAACGGTATATCCAGAAATGTTGATAAATCAAAGGGTTTGGGAATAACTGGGTAGCACCATGAGACATGAGCGACGCACTACACGGAGTACTGATTGAGTCGCCCTTCAAACAGGGAGGGTACACGGGTCTATGGGTACTACACCAATAAACATGGACACACAAAAATGTATAAGTATGGTGCCACAATGATACAAATTATGTGCAGGAATCATCGTCGTCATCACCGTCAATAACATCATCATCTATCATCTTCGTCATCATCATTATCATCGTCGTCCTTATCATCTAAGAACCATCTACGGGGATGTCTCTATTTTAAGCGTTTGCGCCGGCGTGGCCGTGGCTATGACGCCGTCATCCGTGGCCGTGACGCCGTCATCCGTGGCCGTGACGCCGTCACCCGAGGCCGTGACGCCGCAGTAGGCCAGGCAGCCGGTACAGCACTTGTAGAAACAGTATAAAACCGCCATGATGTACCAGGCAGTGGTCACCCAGAATGCGAAGTAATAGAGCGTCGGGTGGCAGTAATCAGCAGCAGATCTGACCGTGGTGTTGGGCTTGTAGATCCGATAGATCCATACATTTCCTGGATGAAAGCAGTGGTGAAAATAGGAAAATAAAATCCACGTTACTCATTTGTATGTTTGTAGGAAGTTAATTTCTAACGACAAAGGCATGAAAGGAATAATGCAACAAAACGTCTTCCACGCAGGCATCTCAAAAGGAAAATGAGGAGCGCAGATGTGAAACTATTAAGAGCATCAAGGGAAGACTTAACGAAAAGGAGCGACCTTTTGAATGTGAGGGTTTTATCACTAAAGCTTTCCTTCAGCAAATCCATATTTTCTTAAAGTGTCTATAACATATGATAAAATCGATATTGATGTTGGGACTTTGCAGACGGATCCAGCATGGGGTCCCGATTTTTACGTGTTTGCAAGGTCTGCTCATTTTGTCGAAATAGCCTACCTTTGTCGGAAAATTTAAGACCATAAGAAAATACATTTTTCATAATAATAATAATAATTAATAATAATAATCTTTTAAATTCCACTCCAAATTTTATTAAGTTAAACCAAAAATGGAAATTCTCTTTGCCCAATTAATCGTGAGCCCGGCAGCCAAAGAGACATAAAACAATTTAATAACCACCGGCGATAAAATATGCGAAGCAGAATACTGCGATGAGATGGCTGATTCCACTCTCCACTTTGTTGCGTTTGAAGTCGGCCTGTTCTTCTTGAGGAAGTCTAGAGCGCTGAGTCCTCCACTTCAGATTGATCAAGGTCTTTACTATGTGCGCCGCCCCCATGGTGATCATATAGATAGGGATGAGTCTTTCTGCAGGGCAGTCGTCCAGATATACGGCTCCTGTGGTTGGTGAAATGAATGACATTGAACTGTTAGCAACGACGACTTTAAATTCTTTTGGTATATGTCAATTAGAACATCACACTTTCATCTGCTGCACATGGAACCACTTTGTCGGTCTCGTGGACCTGAATACTAATTTTAATGGTTGGCGAGACTGGCGAGCCCCAGATACCAATATATCGTTCTAGGGGAACTACTGACAATTTTTCTTAGGTTTCAAGAGACCGACATTGTCGGTCTCTTGGGCCGTCTAGCTCATTGCTCTCGGTCTCGTATGCGTCAGTCTATTGGGATGTTTTATTTCATATTCTGTCGTTTGTTTATATTGTTTGTTGTCAAGTTATATATTTATTTATAGCATGGCCGAATAAGAAATGTTTGTGCACTACGTGCGTCCGGAAGTATAAGCTTTTTTCTATCATTCAGAACAAATATAATTTATTAAAAGTTTAGTGTGAGACTATTTACCTATGCCTATATAGAGAACCTAAGTGTGACGGCTACTGGCCTAGTTGTCAAGATTGCTGGCTCCTAATAAGTTTGCGCTTACCAATAGTTTGCTGGCCACACCAGCCCCAAACACTGAATTTGCCCTGCTCCAGCGCTCGTATGGCAAGCCGTTTTTATCATTTAAACATATTTCTTGAATTACCATTGCTTTACAACATAAAATTATTTCTTGTAATCAAGAATTCGATTTATTGATATCACGAATTCATTCTTTTGATATCACGAATTCATTTCTTGATATCACGAATTCATTTTTTGAGGGGGGGGGGGCAGGGGGTGGTGGAACCCCCTTAAAAAATTTCGGTGTGTGTTTATTCGAGGAAAACTTCCCTTCAATGTTTTGTTAAAAAATAATTTTAAAAAATTGTGCTAATGGATGACCAAAGGTGACCCCCCCCCCCCCCCCAAGGGAACGAAATATCTATCGGCCAAATGTTCAAATTTTCGAGAAAAAAAAATGTGCTTTTACCTCCCCCCCCCCCCCCCCCCCCGCTTTTTCATCGGCTGGCTGAGTCGTTGCGAAATTTTCGGGGTGCGATTTTCAAATTTTAACCCCCTCCCCCTTCGAAAAAAAATCCTGCGTACGTGCCTGCCTCCAGGTGTACCTCCCCCCGCATATAAATCGAGCAAGGCTCCTGAAATTACTTGTCTTACGAATGGTAATATATTTTCTAGCTATGATATGTAATTGTGATAAAGGCCCAAATTGATAAAATCCGTCCAGGTCAGCGACCTTTAATTCAAACAGTGATTTTATTTATATATGCACTAGTGGCGTACACAGGATTTTTTTCAAGGGGGGGGGGGGGTCGGGGGTAGGGGGGGTTTAACATTTTGAAATTGGGCCAAATATTTCGCAACGGCTCAGCCACCCGCTCGCTGAATAAGCGGGGGGGGGGGTTAAGAAGACATATATATATTTTTGTTTTGGTCCCAATCTTTTTTTATTTTCTTATTAAAACAATAAAAATAAATAAATAAATCAAAAGGGGGTTTCTCTAGAAACATACATATACAAAACCCCACCATGCGTACGCGCCTGGCAACAATTGCTATTACACATTTCACAACGCAAATTGAACACGATTCGCGTGTTTAGACTCCCTCCCCCCCCCCCCCCCCCCCCCCGAGGCCACTCCGTGAAAAACCCAATCTTCAGACCCCTGATCTGAGAAACATGACCGGGAGAAAATTTACACCGCAGATATTCGTTCGACCAAGCAATTTGCTCAAAATCCGAGTAAACTTTCAATTTAATATAGCATTACACTGCATGTCCTTTGGGAATACAATTCTCCTGTAATTCATTAACACACTCACTGAATAATTTCAAACCCACTGTAAACAGCGATAAATCGGTATAACGAGGTTCTTGGTACCGTTAAAATTACCATGCTACAGCGCTGTGATACACATGTATGTCTGTAAAGAGCGCTATATAAATGCCAATATTATTATTATTATTATATATAATTAGGCTAACAACAAACAAGAACATATGGTTTAACGAGCTGGGACCGGAATGTTATTCTGCTTTTAACAACATTGTTACATATCATAACTCCTTTAATTGAGATTCCACTGTATCGTATATATTCAATTGCCTGACCTACAATCATTTAAAACAATCTCCATGCATTATTGCTTTCGTATCTGTGAGACAATGCAAGTATCGTTTCAATCATAACATATCTCTTAAATCGACAAAACCTTTATTACAGAATCGTATTGCTTTCAAGACAATAATGCCGATATAATTATCAAATTAACAACAAATGAAAACATATGGTTTAACGAGTTGGGACGGGGGGTTGGACCAGGAATGTTACTCCGCTATATTAACATTGTTATACATAAAATCTCCTTTAATTGAGACCCCACTGTATCGTATACATTCAATTGCTTGACCTACAATCATGTAAAACAATCTCTATGCATTATTGCATTTGTATCTGTGAGAAAAAACAAGTATCGTGACAATCAAAACTTATTTCTTAAACCAACAAAACCATTATTACAGAATCGCATTGCTTGCAAGACAACCTAATACTTCACAGGCGTCAGGCGGTGATATTGGGGATGGTGGGGGGGGGGGGTATTTTCGATTGTCCAAATCAACAGGTCTTCCCTCTACCAAAAGTCACGAGAGAATAACAGTTTTCACATGCACGTACACGCTCTCACAATCGCGTGTTATGCGTTTCGTGTGCAAAAGAGAGCGCATTCGGAAACGCGCAAAAAAAGCGCGCCTTGTCTAGAGGCGCCAAATTCATAACAATGTAAACAAGCTTATTGATGCGTCACATTAATCAGCAAAATCAACCAAGGATAGAGTTGCGTACCAGCCGATGAATAAATGTTTTTGAAAGCGTTTTTGTAACTCTTTAAAATTTCATATACTAAATGTGCAGATGTTATCATTCATATTTGTTTTCCAGAAATAGTTTACTTACCAATTGCGATCATTGAAATGGGAATGGTGAGAATTACTGCCATAAATAATGTCCAGATGACTGCCGAGATAGCTGTAAAAAAAATAAAATGTACGGAACATATTTTTAGAAAGAATCAATATATTATATATCCTATGATTATGGCAATTTTTTAAAATAAATTGGTATAGCTTAAATTACAATACAATAGGGGTATAAATGTTTAATTCATAATTATATTCATACATTATTAAACTTGAGATTCATTTGTGCCTAGCCATACTGTCATGAAACTATCTTGAATGAATTCCTTTTACATCAAACAACAAGGATCTAGGAGTTTCGTGGTATAAAACAAATGATGCATGTTTTCACTCGTTCATTATACGATCTATCCGCCCTCGTTGATGCTGTGTGTATCTATCGTACTCAGCCAAAGGGCTCCGTGCAATAGATACACACATCCTCAACTCGAGTGCGGATAGATTGTATAATGAACTCATGCGCGCATCATTTTGTATAATAACTATCTATTTATTTCCCCTTCCCCCTTTTTACGGCATAACCCTAAATAATTTTAAACAATCGAAGTAGGCAAAGCGGATTCTGCTATATACTTGTAAGACCTCTGCGACTATTCAAACGTATCTATTTGTAGGCGTTATTATTTAAAATATTTCGTATTCTAGCAGTAAAGTGATTGCTTGAAAATCACACCCCTCCCCGCGTTTAAAAAATAAAGTTGTAATGGCTCTTGGGTAGTTTGCAGAAACAAACTTTGTCAGTCGTTGCTTGCAGACTAGCTCTTGGGCAAGAGGGACTACCGAGACACTTCTAGGAGAGTCTTCACCTGTTCCAGACCATTTTAATTAAAGGGGGGATGTCTAACAAATTTCCATCAAGGAACCTCGTCACCCCCTCCCCGGCCCCTGTTGTTTGTATAGATTTCTGGATACACCACTGGTCCGGACCGTATGCCAGTCGGTAGACTTACATGTCCCGATCAGGATCCCGACCTGTTCCCAGATGTATTTGTCGAATGGCGGAATTTCATCTGGGGGATCTGAGTATTAAGAACAAAAAGAAAAGAAAATAATTCCCATTTATCATTATACATGTAATACACTTTACTAAGTTAATCATTTATCACTTCGTTAATAATTACAATTCTGAAGAATATGCAGCAATTGAGAGGTTTGACAGTGGAGGGGTGGGAGGGGGGGTCCAGGATTCTCTCCAGAGATGGTGGGCACAAGACAGTCGAGAACATCTCTGACAAGAAGAAAGTTTTAACACATTTTCAAGAGCTACAAACATTGACCTCGAATAGCTGGTATGAGGTACAGAATACGCAATAACATCTAAATTTGCGGCACAATAAGCAAGTAGGCAAACAGGCCTACACATTACCAGCCTTGGTTTTGCCGGGGAGTAATATAGAGCCTACTATTTGTGATTTAATTACTGTACGACGCTTTTTACCTATAGCTTTTTTATTATGCTCTTCTCATATTTGTAGATATTCATGTACACGAATTTTGTATACATTTTGTTAATTTTTTGGGAGAATAAAAGAGGAGTGGGATTTCACATCCGAGGATACTCGGTCACTAGCGAAATATTGTTGGCTGGGGGTTCTGGGTTCCATGACACATGCTCCGCCGACGATTGCTTCGCCGACATTTACTCCGCAAAACGCGACAATTGCTCCGCGACATTTGCTCCGCGACAGTTGCTACGCCGACAGTTGCTCCGCCGACATTTGCTCCGCCGACATTTGCTCCGCCGACATTTGCTCCGCCGACAGTTGCTACGCCGACAGTTGCTCCGCCGACATTTGCTCCGCCGACATTTGCTCCGCCGACAATTGCTCCGCCGACATTTGCTCCGCCGACAATTGCTCCGCCGACATTTGCTCCGCCGAAATTTGCTCCGCCGACAATTGCTCCGCAAAACGCGACAATTGCTCCGGTGACAAATGCTCCTCGAACGACAGTTGCTCCGCCGACAATTGCTCCGGTGACATTTGCTCCGCAGACAATTACTCCGCCGACATTTGCTCCGCTAAAAAAGTGCCCCATAAATACAAAGGCTACTACGACAATAATTGTTGCTCCCCCCCCCCCCCAAAAAAAAGTACCCCGCAAAAGACAATGCTCCGCCGACAATTAAATTGCTCTCGGATCCAAAAGTGCAGCCTCGTGGAAGACATGAATGCTCCTCTGGCAATTAGTGCAATAAATGCTCAGCCTTTTTTTTTTTGCTATTCCCCATAATGTTTGATTTAAAAATATACATCTCACCGACCTCAAACTTCTGCATTGATATAGTACACGAGGATCGAGCAAAAATACCAACACGGCTGACCCGACACAGCAACATATTTACCCGTGTCTTTTTTGCTTCCTGGACGAGAGGACTCCACCCAACGACCCCCCTTTCTTTCACCCCCACTCCTGCTTTCTCAGGCTCTTACCTTCCCCTCCTCTCTTTCACCCCCCCCCCCCCCCCCCGTTTCTTTTGTTTCCCTTTTCTCTTTTTTCCTTTTTTTTCCCTTTTCTTTCTTTTCTTTCTTTTCCTTTCTTTCCTCTCCTCCCTCTTTTTTTTCTTCTCTTTCTTTCTTCTCTTTTCTTTCCTTTCTTTTCCTTACTTTCTTTTCTTTTTCTTTTCTTTTTTCTTTTCTTTCCCTTGCCCTCTCTTTTTTTTCCCTCCCCCTTTTCTCTTTTTTTCCCGACGCCAGCGCAATTTTACCGATAATATCCTGAGAGGTGGGGGGGGGGGGGGGGGGGGGGGGTGTCGCACCCCCACACCTCCCCCCCCCCCTTAGCGACGCAGATGCAGATGGTTTACGTAGTAAGATGCATGTGCTTGCTTGCATTGAGGTCATTTCAGGTCTTACATATTGATGAGCTGTTTAAAATTAACTAGGAGGTATGCGCGTATTGGGGAATGTGGCTTGCTGCTCTACTTTTTAAAAAAAACTTCCCACGACATGTAATGAGTGTTCAGTGTACATCATATTGGACGTACAGTGATAGATGGAAAGTTATTTCAGTATATTCGAAATGGCTTCTAGGTAAGTCCTTTTTCCTCCCACATCCTTATCCTTTCTTCTTTCTCTTGCGTTCAGAAACATTGTATGAAGCGCATTATAAATGTAATGTTTTATCAGGTGGGCTGTATATAATACAGATCACCTTATGTTTTCGTTAGAATATTTTTCTTATTTCTAACCATTTTTTTGTTAGCACGATAACTTAAAAATGGCTCAATCAAATGCCTTGAAATTTGGCACACATATGTATAGGCATGAGGAAAGAGCACAATAAGGTTTTCAACCTTGACCTTGATTGATAACGTCATCCAGGCGCAATTTTGTGAAAATCAAAATATGATCATATCTTCATAACGAAAAGACATTTCTCATTCATATTTACCAGGATCAAGGTCAATATCAGTCCGGTCAATTTCACGTCAAAAAACGCGAGCGTACGCCATTATTAGCAAAAGAATTTCATAAAGAATCGCGGGCACGCGCATGCGCGCGCGTTTTCGTTTGTCACGGCCGAACGCTAAATAATTCACCCTTGATTTTTTGTTGACGCAGTATTTCTCATGTTTTCCCGAACAATTTGATACCATGTTTAACTCTTTATGACCATTAATAAGGGAATGAGCGTCCGTTTAAGATAAACGTCCGTGCGCGCGTGCTCATGTAATACATAGCATATATGGGCACAACATGCCTACACAAAACCCTTATGACTCTTTGGGATGGACGGGAACCCTCAATTTTTTTTCATATTCGGATAGAGTATGAGTCGGAGATGTGATTCCATGTCTCATTTGGCCATTAAGTATATCGTGTCATCATTATATTGACCTTGGAACTCATAATACGAATTTGCATATTATGACGTCAGCATATTTATGGAAAATTGATTGTATCTCTGTAAATATTGATTGATTCTCTTCTTAATGTTGATATCTTGTAGTTGAGGCAATTGTCTACAAGTTAACTGCATATTATTTTTCATTTTGATGACATCATCATAGCGAAAATTGCGATTAAAGGTAACTTGACAGATTTTCTTAATTTGCGTGTTAAGCCTGTGGAAGGTGCCAATTTAGTTCAAATCATGGATCTACATGACATTAATCTTTGAGCGCTATCTAGCTCATTTGTGCTCTATGTTCTCCCAAATTTTGGTATGTTATAGCTGAGACTATCGGCTATAAAAGTTGTGTCTTTTGTTTTTTTATCAGATGGTGGGATCATGTCGAAATTTTCAATTGAAAGTTAAATTCGCAAATTTTGTAGAACATTGTAGGAATTATGCATATGTCACGTTTGTCCTATTTGTGAAATATAAACGTTAGCAGTTTTCTAGTATTCAAATTAAACAAGGAAACCCCTTTACTTCCTATACTTTACTGTCAGACACTATTGAGTGACTGACCAATTTTTTTTCTTCTGGTAATAAAAGACATTATATGAGCTTAAAGGGTACATGAGCATTTGTCCACATCAATAACCCACTTCTTGTAATGGCCCAAAATAATCCGATCGAATCTATGCGCAGCACAATCTAGGTAAACATGACGGGTAGAGCATTTCATGGAAGAAGATGAAATTATGAAAATGCATTCTTCGTTATGTCAATTAGGGTCAAAGGTGTAACTGCTTATTGTATGGGGTTAATTGTCATATAGCGTCTCAATCTTCCATAGATCCATAATGGTCAATATACTACACAGTTGAAACTTTTCATATGGATAGAACTTAAAGGTAAAGACCAGTTATGGTCATGCGATTACATTGTGAAAGAAACGTTGTGGAATCGATCAGAAAAGGTTGATCATCTAGCATATAAGTATTGGTGTGTACTGCAAGGTTTTGGAATCATCAAAATGATAAGAAATTTGGCCCAGTCTTCGTAAAGTTACAAGCACTGTACACAGAAAGATGTATATGGGACTATACGCACACGTGCGCGACACGTGCGTTTATCTCTCACGGATCATGTAGATAAACTAATTTACCAAACATATCAATTAGTAGGCGGTTTCCCGGCAAAATTGTTATCATCATGTATTAGTAAAAACATATTCTTTCACATGATTGGTAATAAGAGCTTCCATTTCATTTTTTGAAACTGGGGCGTTTCAAATACTGGTTTTTACCTTTAATAGGAAGAGCATTTTAGAAGATAATATAAAATCGTGAAAATACATTCTTCATTATTTAAAACATTAGCATACGTATAACCTAAATTGTCAAAGTGACAAATTCAATTTATTATTATTCCCATTCATTATTCTGTCATTAATTAATAACTTAGAATTGTGACACTTTTAAGTAACTCAAAATCATCGTGACGTCATCCAGGCACTATTTTGTGGAAATCAACTTTTAATCATATCTTCATAACGAGTCATCAAAACTGAACCATATTTAAAACACATGAACTTCAGGTCAAGGTTCGGTTCGACATAACATCTCATCAAAATCCGCGGGCGTCTGAATTTTAAAATGCTCAAATTCACTTTTAAATCAAATCAGAGTATGTTCTAGGCCATTTAAAGAATTTCGAAAATATTATTCACGCGCGTTTTTGCGTGTAACGCCATTACACAACAAAGAAACGTAATTTTTTGTTCTGTCATGATATTTCATAACGGAATGCGCGTCCGTTTAAGATAAATTGCCGTGCGCACGAGTACATATAATACATTGCATATATAGGCAAAAACATGATTACACAAAATCCATCACAGCTCTTTGGGATGCACCTAGACCCCCGATTGTTCTTTTATTTTGATTATATGAGTCGGAGATATGATTTCATTTCTCATTCGGCCATTAAGTACATGTTAACGTCATCATAACGGCCTTGGAAGTCAAAATACGAATTTGCATATTATGACGTCAACATATTTACAGAAAATAATTGTATCTCTGCAAAAATTGATCAATTTTCTTCTAAATTTTGATACGTTGTAGCTAAGACAATTCTTCACAAGATTATTACCAATATTTATTCATTTTGAAGATGTCATTAG